ACCCTTGATGCTTCTTCGTCTTCATCTTCATCCTCACGACCAGCTGCTCCACCGTCAACCAAACAGTCCGTCGCATCCAATCACCGAAAAAAAAACAGTCGACCACCCTCGCTGCTTCTTCTTCTTCGTTCAGCATCCATGAACACCACCCAAAGCACCATTGCTGCCCTCCCGTCGAGCTCCAGCAGCCACTGCTGCTGTTTCACCTCAACACACACACACGCACAGCCTCACATCCAAATACATAGCTGCTGCTGCTTCATCTCCTCTCTCGTCAAACTGCTACTCAACACACACACACACACACGACCTCCTTCAACAGCCTTCCACGACCCACACACACATATGGATAGAGCAGCAACATAGAGGTCATTGAAACAAAGTGAGAAATAGATGGAGGAAAAGCGAAGTAGTTCGGTTAAAGTCCGGCGAAGTTCTGTCAAGGTCTCGTTTGGTTTTGTTTGAGTCCGTCGTTGTTCGTCGTTCAGTGAGGTCCAGTCTTAGTTCGTCGAGGTTAAAAGAGAAGGTGGGTTTTCGTTGAGTCGAGATCCGGTACGTCGAGGTTGCTGTCCGAGTTTTCCGTTTCCGTTCGAGTTCGTCGTTGTTCATTTCCGGTTAGTTGGTTTAAGTTTCATTTCTGTCTGTACTTTGTTTGATATTCTCGGATTTGAAATTAGTATATGTTTGATTCTTTTCATCATTTCTTGATTATTTCTTCAGTTTGTTGTTATTCATTTAAAAAAATTTAGTTTTAATATAGAAGTGTGTTAGTTTAATAATTTGAATCCTTCATCTTGGTTGTAATATTGTTAGATTTAGTTTGAGGTGCAATTGATTATTGAGTTTAGTGATTTGAATCTGTTTATTTGTTCTGTTTAAGTTTAATTTGAATTTGAGCTCAGTGATTTGAATATACTTGTTTGTTATTGTTGTTGAATCTGAAAGTAGGTTTGTTGTTAAAAAATATTGTTCCGTCAAAATAATTCCAGTTGTTTCTTTGTTGTTCATCATCTAGTTTGAATTTGATTAGGAATTGGTTATAGCTGCTGTATTTTGGTTAGAATTGATTAGGAATTGGTTATAGCTGATGGAGTTTAGAATGGTAAATTGCAATATTTCCAGGGGTAAAATGGTAATTTCAGTCATTTCAGAGGGATATTTTAGGAATTAAAAATATGAACAATTATTTATTTTGAGTGCTCTGTCCACTAAGCTAATAATATTAAAATAAGGTATTAAAATAATTTAGTGGGGGACAAGACATGTGGTAGTGGAGAATAATGCATTTGTTTAATCAATAATGGGGAAAAAGACATAGTAGGATTACGGGGCTCAAGAAAAGTTGATTAAATAAAATAATAATTGCATTTTTTATGTAGTAGTAGGTTTAGTAAGAGAAAGTGGATTGTTTTATTATTTGTTTAATTGATTAAGGGGTCTGTTATGAGGCATAAATAGAGCATACTTGGACATAATTAGGAGGGGGATTTGATCATCATAAATTCAGAGCTTAAGTTGAAAAGAAAACGGATTTGTCAGAACTTAAAAAATTCAGTCTTTGAGAATTAAAAACTGAAAGTAAAGCCTTTCTTTACTACTGAGAATCAGAATATTGTTACTGCTTCTGTGGTTTGCATTTGGTACTACTGATTTTCAGATTGGTCTTCTTGGGTTTTCTTTTGGTTCTGGAGTGCTGTTTCATTGAATTCTTGGGTTTCAGCTTGGGTTTCTGGTATTGTTTGCTGTTGGGTTATTCTTGAATCTGTTACTGGTTGTGGAATCATCTCTGTTGGTTTTAAGATCTGTCCCTGGGTGTTCAATTCGCTACTGCTGTTGCTGTTGTTATATGTTACTGCATTTCTGCTGATAGTCCTCTTCTTTTACTTCCAATATCTGGTATACAACTGACACGCTGGTTACTGTAAGCTGAAGCATGAATATGAAATAAAGAGTTGAAGTTCCGAATTTATCTTAGTTATATTCTGAATTTTAGTTGTGTATATACATTATTTAGTTTCCTCTAATCAGAATCACGTAGTTGTTTAATGTATAATGGAACATCTGACAGTAGCTTAGTGGACGAACTGTCTATGTATTGCTAAAAAAAATAAAATAATAAATGGTGTAGTAACTCTGTTCAGATAGTTCGTTATTGTTTGATGATTATCATATCTCAAAAAGCATGTTAGCTGATTTAAGCTATTCTTAAACATTCAACAATTAGCTCATTAAACGAATAGACCATTTCGGAACTTGTAGGAATATTGTTTAGCTAGATACTATTGGTTAATTTCAGCATGCAAATGGTTTAGGATTAAAATTAGATTGCCAAGTTTTTTTTTAATTTGACAAACAATGAGCATGCCTAGTATAATGTAACTAGGTAGTAACATGTGAATGAGATGACCCAGGTCTAGTTTTGTGCCATACACGTTGGGCCTGGGTCCACGTTGGCCAACGGGTTGNAAGAGTTTAAAGTTTGTACATAAGTTCATAATTGTATAAAATCAGATAATCAAGCCGAATATGATAGTTGAGCGATCGTGTTAGAACCACGGAACTCGGGAATGCCTAACACCTTCTCTTGGGTTAACAGAATTCCTTATTCGGATTTCTGGTATGCAGACTGTTAAACAGAGTTCTTCTTTTCCTCGATTCGGGATTCAACCGGTGACTTGGGACACCATAAATCTCCCAAGTGGCGACTCTGAAATAAATAAATAAATAAATCCCGTTTCGATTGTCCTTTAATTGGAAAAAACTCCCTTCCGCACCCTTTTGAGGCGGCGCGGGCNAATAATAATAAAAGCGGTAAAGAGTTTAAAGTTTGTACATAAGTTCATAATTGTATAAAATCAGATAATCAAGCCGAATATGATAGTTGAGCGATCGTGTTAGAACCACGGAACTCGGGAATGCCTAACACCTTCTCTTGGGTTAACAGAATTCCTTATTCGGATTTCTGGTATGCAGACTGTTAAACAGAGTTCTTCTTTTCCTCGATTCGGGATTCAACCGGTGACTTGGGACACCATAAATCTCCCAAGTGGCGACTCTGAAATAAATAAATAAATAAATCCCGTTTCGATTGTCCTTTAATTGGAAAAAACTCCCTTCCGCACCCTTTTGAGGCGGCGCGGGCGAAAAAGGAGGTGTGACAGCTCTGGCGACTCCGCTGGGGAGTTAACCCAGAACCACTGGTTCAGGGTTAGAAATTAGAGCTTAGATAAATTGTTATATTTGGAGTTATCTGATTTTGTTACATGTTTGGGCCCAATGTGCTAAATGCTGCTTTTACCGCTTTGATATTATCTGAATTGTATATAAACTGTGCCGAAACCCTTCTCTTCTTATCTACGGGGATATGCTTACTGGTTGAAACTCCCTATTCTGTTAGTGTCATACCCTGAAATAAAAGAGGTTCAGAAAGTTTCTAAGCCGACTGGCCTTTTGGTTCCCGGAAATGAGCTCCTTCCTCAACTCGAGTTGTCCGCTCAGGTACACTGTCTAGAACATATACCCAGGTTGAACCTAGAATAATTTGACTTCATGCCGGATCCCTAGTAGGAACGTTTATTTGCATCATGTTGCATTTGACTTAGGGGACTGAATATCTACTGGGGAGGTAACCCAGAATCTCTGGTTCAGGGTTCAAAAATTCGAGCTTAGAATAATTGTTATTATTTGGCTTCATTTATTATCTGATTTTATTACATGTTTTAGCCTAAATGTGCAAAATGTTACTCTTACCGCTTTGATATTATCTGAACTGTATATATAAACTGCTACGAAATCCCTCTCTTCTCTCTCTTGAGGAGTGCACGCTGGTCGTGACTTCTTTCTGTTAGTGTCCTATTCCAAAATAGAACGAGGATTCAGAGGAGTTGCAAAATCGGATGATCTTTTGGTTACCGGTACGTAGTTCCCATCCTCGGCTCGAGTTGTCCGCTCGGGTAAGCCAGGTCTAGAACAAACACCCAGGATAAACCTAGTATAACAAAACCTCATGAACGGATCCCTAG